GACAAAACATGATGATGGTCGACATGATGGCATATACCCAGATACAACATGGGCGCGATGATATATAACCAAATATGACATGAGAGCGATGGCATTTAATCAAATGACATGAGGGCTATGGCATATAACCAAGTATGAGAGCGATGGCATATAACAAATATGACATGAGAGCGATGGCATAACCATGAGAGCGATGGCATATAACCAAATATGACATGAAAGCGATGGCATATAACTAAATATGACATGAGAGCGAAAGCATGTAACCAAATATGACATGAGAGCGATGGCATATAACCAAATATGACATGAGAACGATGGCATGTAACCAAGTATAACATGAGAGCGATGGCATATAACCAAATGACATGAGAGCGATGCCATAACCAAGTATGACATGAGAGCGATGGCATATAACCAAATATGACATGAGAGCGATGGCATATAACTAAATATGCCATGAGAGCGATGGCATGTAACCAAATATGACATGAGAGCGATGGCATGTAACCAAGTGTAACATGAGAGCGATGGCATATAACCAAATGACATGAGAGCGATGCCATAACCAAGTATGACATGAGAGCGATGGCATATAACCAAATATGACATGAGAGCGATGGCATATAACCAAATATGACATGAGATGATAACCAAGTATGGCATGGGAGCGATGATAACCAAATATGACATGAGAGCGATGGCATATAACAAATATGACATGAGGGCGATGGCAGAAATATGACATGAAAGCGATAGCATATAACCAAATATGACATGAGGGCGATGGCATATAACCAAATATGACATGAAAGCGATGGCATATAACCAAATATGACATGAGGGCGATGGCATATAACCAAATATGACATGATGCATGATAACCAAATATGACATGAGGCGATGGCATATAACAAATATGACCGATGGCATATAACCATATGACATGAAGCGATGGTATGATAATATATATGACATGAGGGCGATGCATATAACCAAATATGACATGAGAGCGATGGCATATAAAAATATGACATGAGCGATGGCATATAAAAATATGACGATGGCATATGTATGACATGAGGGCGATGTTATATAACCAAATATGACATGAGAGCGATGGCATATAACCAAATATGACATGAGGGCGATGGCATATAACCAAATATGACATGAGAGCGATGGCATATAACCAAATATGACATGAGATGCGATGAGAGCGATGGCATATAACAAATATGACATGAGAGCGATGGCATATAACCAAATATGACATGAGAGCGATGGACATGAGAACGATGGCATATAACTAAATATGAAAGCGATGGCATATAACTAAATATGACATGAGAGCGATGGCATAACCAAGTATGGCATGAGAGCGATGGCATATAACCAAATATGACATGAAAGCGATGGCATATAACTAAATATGACATGAGAGCGATGGCATAACCAAGTATGGCATGAGAGCGATGGCATATAACCAAATATGACATGAAAGCGATGACATATAGCCAAATATGACATGAAAGCGATGGCATATAACCAAATATGACATGAGAGCGATGACATATAAGCAAATATGACATGAAAGCGATGGCATATAACCAAGCATAACAGGAGCGCAAATGGCATACCGTACCTCAGTTGGCAGACGTCGCTGTTGAACATGATCGTCTGCGTGCATGTCATGGCCGTGCTGAAGGTGTTGGGATAACCTGGACTCTGGATGTAAGTGCAGTTGTTCCTGGAAGTTCCGCCGCACCCGATCTTTGCTGGCGAGAAAGTTTGAGAAAAGAGGAAAAAAAGAATATAAATGAATTGGTTAGGGTGCGTGAACAGATGCAGAATGCAGGTGATTACCTAAACCACGAGATTCTCTCTGAAATTATAGGATGACTTTTTCTTCTTTTGACTTTTTTTTTGTGCTTTGCTCTGATTGGCATTTCCCATTCTCCTTTTTCACGCATTTATACATTTTTTGTGTCTACATGGTTTTTATCTCTCATACGTATACAGCACACAGTATTCATGTACTGTTTTCCCCTTTCTTTATTTCTATATTTCTGTCTCTCTCCGTCTTTCACCCTCACCCTTTTACTCTCTCTTCTTTTCTTTTCTTATTTCTCTCTCTCCTCTTAATTTCTCCTCCCCCCCACCCTACCCTCTCCCTCTTCATCCTCACCCTCTTTCTCTTTTTCTCTTCACTTTTCCCCTCTCCTCGCAGACAACCTCCGAAGATACTTACTCACAGCAGGACCCGAAGCCTCCTGCGCAAGTGCCCTCCAAGCTCCCGCCGTTGAGAAGGCACGAATGTTTGGCGTAACAGGTCCCCGAGTCGCCAGAGGATCCGGTGCACGCGGTGTTCTTAAACCTCACGACTGAGAACAGCGATACTGGACGAGAAAGAAAATGGAAGAAGAATGTAAAATGGAAGACTTTCGGTAGGGAAATATTCTCATGGACATGTAAGTTTTTCTTCTGACATACGTAAAGA